TTGTCCTTCTTCAGTTGCTCGACTTCTCGATTAGCTTCCGAGATGGCGGTCTTCAACTTCGCGTTCTCCTCCTCCAATTTGCCGACTGAAGCCAGCTTCTGGTCTGCAAGCATTGTCTTCTCACGTGCTTCCTTCTGAGCAGCAGCAAGGTCCAGGTCCTTCTTCTCCAAAGCCTCCTTCATTCTCTCTAAAGAAACAACACTCTTCAGACGAGCCTGAAGTTGGTGGTTTTCACTACGCACATCTTCTTGTGTGAAGTCACTCGGTTCAAAGAGACTGAAAGAAAAAGCGGTGGAAAGTGCGAGCTACTAAGCAGACAAGACAGTCGAATGGTTACCTCCCATGATGGCCGTCTCTTGTTGAGCAGTCTTGAGGTTCTTCTTCGCGAGTTCAAGGTCAAGTTCAATGCTGATATGCTTCTTCTTTAACTCGGAAAGTCGAGCTCCAAGATCACAAGACCTCAGTAGTCAGCAAGAGAGATATGTCAGTCGACAGAAATAAGAGACAGTGACAGTGAAAAGTTACTCTAAGACTAGTGCTGAATCAAATATTCAATAGTAGTCTCGGGGACTACACCCAGTGGGTGCACTTAGCGTGCCCCCACTGGTTCAGATCAATACTCAGCAGGGTCTGCCCAGCGTGAGTCCAAAAAAAAGAAAGAGTACAATATAAGACCTCAGTCGACTGCCAATAGTCGACTGTGGTCTCGGGGACTACACCCAGTGGGTACACTTGGCGTGCCCCCACTGATCCATACAGTTTACTGAGACTCAGCTCGAGTCGAGTGGAGTGGAAGATTTCCTTAACTCTAAACAAAGGAACACCCCAGTGGGTGATCGGATATAAAACAACATTCAAAAGTTCAGTCGGAGTTTTGCTGACCTGAACATTGGTCTCAAGGGCAGTGCTGGCGTTGTAAGCCACTTGACTAGCCTCGTGCATCACCTTCACCTGCTCCATGACAAGGTTCACCTGGCGAAGAGCTTCCCTAGTGGCACTCGGCGAGTCGTTTGGGGTCTAATACGCGGCAAAGAGTGATGGCTCCAAGGCAGTCGAAGCAGTTACTGGGTCAGACGCATGGAGCTGCACTGGAGCGGCAGGAGTCTGTGCAGTTGATCCTGACGGTCGATCAGTCGTCAGCGGGCTGGCGAATGTGATGTTGGTCCGAACCGGCTCTCTGGAACGTTCGACCACCGCCTCAAGCGCCGACGTCGACTGAGGGACTTGAATTTCAAGCCTCCTCCTGCTTGAGCTTCCACTCTTCTTCCTCCTCTCCTGTAGAGGTGCTTCTTCTTCATCATCATCAGGGAGCACGATGATCTCCTGCGGAACTATAGAAAGGGAGAAATATCAGATATTCAGCCGATTAACGGCTCACTCGACTAAATGAAACCTGGTCGAACGGACTTACCAGCCCGAGAGGTGGCCTCCTCGTCTCCTGGTGCCTTATCGATATCCATGTAAGTAGCAGCAGAGGTGGGGCTAGAAAGATACATGATCCAATTGGTCAGAACAGAAATTTCAGCCGGTCTGCATAAACACAAGTGTGATACTCACCCCGAAGCCACAGGGACGTCCATCTTGATACACGGTAGAGTCTTCCGAGCCTTGGGAGGAGCAACCTTGGGTTGCTTGGTGACCTTCTCCGTCGGCTCCAGAGTCAACGTCCGAGTGCACTTCTGAGCATGGGTACTCGGAGCCACGTTATTCTCGCGCCGCCTGTCGGGTCATGTTGCTGCTTGGATCGGCGTTTGAAACGCGGCGGCGAGTCGACTTCTTCCTCGTCGTCTGACTCCTTGCTCTCCTCCTCCTCCTCTTCATCCGAAGACTCCCAGTCGCCACTCTCTTCTGCGCCGGCCTCTCCCTCCTGGCCCTGCTCCAGGACTTGTTCGCCGTTGGGCATCGAATACATCTCAGTAAAAACCTACAAGACAAAAAGTCGAGTAAAATTCAGTCGACATCAAGTGCAGTCGGAATATATACGCCAGGCAGTCGGAATAAAATAGCATACCTTGTCGGGCGGATTGTCGTCTCTGAAGGGGATGACTCGCCTGGATCCTCTGGGGTTGTCCTGAACTCCTGATTGCCTGTGATACTCTTCAACCACATAGCCACGGTCTTGGACGGCACTTCCTCTGGATGGACCCAAGCGGTGTCTTTGGGTCCGGAGTACAACCACATAGGATGATCACGAGCCTGAAGAGGCTGGATGCGTTGACTGAGGAACACTTCCAGCAGGTCCAGGCCGGTGACGCCCTCATTGATAAGTTGGACCACTTCTCCACCAACATCTTCGTCTCCATGTTCTCAGCAGTAGTCACTTTGAGTGGAGAAGGAGTCTGAACACGGTCGAATGTGAAGTGGGAAAGGCCAGTCGACTGACCTGGAGCTGCGACGTCCTGGCAGTAAAACTAGGTCGACTGCCAGCCTCTAACCGATTCAGGGAGAGTCATAGCAGGGAAAGAACTCCTATGCCTTTTCTGAATACCTAAACCCCCACACATCTGGATGACATGGGTCTTTGAGTCACTCGACTTTGCTTTTTTGATCGACTGGGATTGGATGGTGAAGATATGTTTGAAAAGACCCCAGTGCGGTCGACACCCCAAGAAGTTTTCACACATCGACACGAACGCAGCCAGATACGTGATGGTGTTGGGAGAAAAATGGTGGAGTTGGGCACCGAAGAAATTCAGGAATCCCCGGAAGAAGGGGTGCGGAGGAAGCGAGAAACCCCGGTCGACGTGGATGGCGAGCAGTACACACTCACCCGGTCGAGGCTGTGGTTCCATCTCCCCCTCCGGCAGCCTTGCCGCTCCCTTGGCGATCAGACCGGACTCCGCCAGCTCGTCCAGATCTTCTTGCCGGAGCGAAGACCGGATCCAATCGCCCTCGATGCAGCCCGGTGACAGCCCCGCGCGCGATGACGACCCACGGTTCTGCTTCTTGCCTTTCGCCGCCCCCGTCACCTTCTTTGCGCGCTCTAGCGCCGCCGTCTTGTCCTTCACCATGGCGGCAGAGCGGCAGCGTCGAGAGCGGAAGGGCTGGGCGCAGAAGGATAAACGGGCGTGCACAGTGCAGACGCCTCGGCCCCATCGCCTTATAAAGGGTTGCTTCTGAGTGACTGACGCATGGGATCAGGCAATCCTGTCAAATCCCGCAATAGTCACGCGCAACATATGTGGCGAAAAGGCGGCGCAGAAATCGTGGCATCACTGTTTATCCGCTCTGCCCACTTCGGCGCTCCCCGTCCCGCGCGCTTCCCCGAAATTTCGTATCCCGCGAAATCCGGGATACACAGCAGACAATCGCGCCAAGATCCTGCACTCTAATACAGCACTCGGCAGACGATGCCACAAGTTCAGTCGACAACTCTCTGAATGGATCAAGGCGGCCGAGTCGACGCTGAAGTGCCTACATGAGTTTTCCATCTTGCAGAAAACGCTCGCGAAGGTGCAAAGCTCAGAACAAGGTCAACTTCAACCTACTTTCCACTCGAACCTTAATCCATTCGGGGGCTACTGATGAGGATACAGACCTGGGGTAGGGTCATAGGCCTGATCTATACGTCCTACCCAAGGCCACTACCCTAGAAGATAAGAAGTCCAAGAGGCTACAAGAGACCTCCAGTCGAAGACGTCGAGTGCAACCCACTCGGTAGTCATGTCACTCGGGAGTCCTCCTACCTACTGTCACTGGACCATCCAGAGAATCACTCGACCTGCCAAAGACAAGGAGTCACTCAGCATTACAACGGGCAGGCGTTCACTCCGTAGTCTTTAAGGTCATTATCAACACTTAAGGTTGGTGTTACCACTAACGCCCCCACTTTATGTACATTAAGTCCCTTGTAATGGAGGGCGGTGGGGGTCCTGGCGTACTCTATATAAGCCACCCCCTCCTCTGGCACAAGGGTTGGCACCCCCTGTAACATCACACATATAATCTAATCGACCTCCTCCGGGCACCGAGACGTAGGGCTGTTACTTCCACCGAGAAGGGCCTGAACTCGTAAACCTCGTGTGTACACCTTCACCATAGCTGAGATCTTGCCTCTCCATACCTACCCCCCTTTCTACTGTCAGTCTTAGAACCACGACAGCGGGGACGGGAGTTGGGCTAGGGTTGAGAGCAGAGGAAGAGGAGAGCGAGGGGATAAGCGAGCGGCCGACCAGGTGCGACCAGGTGCGCGGTCGGTCCGACCAGGTGCTGGTGTTTTTGCAAAAAAAACCCGAATGGACTACTGTTGACCCTAGGCTCGACCAGGTGGCGGTCAAAGCCGAGCTGGCGGCCGCTGACTCGGCCAAGTCAGCGAATACGTAGACGAAATCGTACATACGGACCAAAGTGAACCCCTAGCGCAAGTATTTGGACCGCAGTTCGGATATTTTGAAGTAGTGATACCTAGAGTGAATTTTTCTCATTTAGATGTGAGGTAACTATTCACCTCTAGCAAAACAGAAATGTCTAGAAAAAATAAAAATAATAGAAATGGGGCAAAAACAATGAACACGACGAAGTCAGCGTGTGAGACCGAAACAACACGAATCAAGATTGCACGGGATTTACAGCACAACCAAATCCGAAGGCCGGTGACTTAGGGCATGTACAATGGTGCTATCTTAGGAGTGCCACGTAGGATAAATGATGAGGTGGAGGAGGGAGAACTCGTAAAAAAAGGCTTATTTTCTCTTATTTAAGTTAAGACAAGAGATGATCTTTCAACACAATTTGTCTCACCTTGTTTTAAGGAATGACTAGTTAGAAGATAAGGCTAAGATATAACCCATTGTAGACATATCTTTTTGCCATCTCTAAATTACATGCAAGACTTAAGATAAAACTATCTTATCAACCATTGTACATACAAGACTTAAGATAAGATATTGCTAAATCTCATCTAAATAAGATTTATCAAATCCGAAAGAAAAACAATATTCCGACCAAAGATTTGACAGTATCTTAGAACGCCACGATACTAGGAAGAACCAACGCTAACATCAAAGAATTACGTAGGGAGTCCTCACGCGATACTTGCCGCTGGTGTCGGTCCACATCACGGCCCCGTACGCAGGCTCGCCTCCGGGAGTAGGCGCGGTGAGCTTGATGTCTACCTCGAACGAGGCCTTCTGCCCTGCGCCGCCGAATTCCAGCGTTGCCGGTGTCACGGCCACAACAACGTTGCTCGGCGAATCCCATGAGGCGTGGTACGTCGCCGGATCCGCTCCGACGCTGGTCACCGTCCTGCCGAAGCGCATCTCCCCGGTGGTAGCGTTGGCGCCGAAGATGGCCACAAACGACGGGTAGTTCGCGTCGTTGGACGAGGAGGAGCAGTTGTACGCCGTCGACGACCCAGTGATCGCCGCGATCTGGGCTCCGGTGTAGTTTGCGGCGCAGAGCAGCGCCACGAAGTCCTTCGGCCCGGCGTCGTACACCAGCCCCGGGTCCATGGCCGAGTTGGGGCTAACGTGCCCGGAGCCCATGGCCAGCGGGCTCGCCGCGGTGGAGTTGCCCTTGCGGCTGGCGCCAGCGTCCATGATTGGGCGGAATGCGTTGTCGTTGGTGGTCGCAGTGGTCATCATCGCCGATTTGATCATGGCCGGGCTCCAGTCCGGGTGCGCCGCGTGAAGCAACGCCGCCACGCCGCTGGCGTGCGGGCACGCCATCGACGTCCCGGATATGACGAGGAAGTCGCTGGCCAGCGCGGTCTGTCCTATCATTCCCTGTGGATCCACGGGTGCCCACGACGCGAGAATGCTATCCCCAGGAGCCAGTATGTCTGGCTTGAGCACGCCGGGGTAGCTACGCGACGGGCCCCGAGAGGAATACGCGGCGACCACCGGCGCTGGCCGTGTGCCGAGGATCGTCTGCTGGAACTTCAGTGTCGCCGTTGGGATTGTGGAGGAGTTGATGTAGTTGAGTAGCGCCGGTGCGTCTTCCGGGCTGATGAAAATGGCTGGGAGCGACATGGTGTCCATAGAAATGTTCCGAAAAAATGACACGTCTTCCGAGCTGATGAAGATGGCCGCGGCGACCCCGGCCTCGAGCGCGGCGAGCAGTTGACTGAAGACACGCCCAGTGTCACGACACACGACTATGCTCGTTGTTAGGTTCGCTAGCGACACCGATGAGTTGCACGCTGAGGTCACCAACTTCTTGTCCACCACCCAAGCGCTCGCAGGGTAGTTCGTGAAGCCAGTTATGGTGCCTTGCGTCGTGTTGTTGCCATAAGACACGGTGCCGGAGAACATTGCCCGGTCCACCGTGCCAGCCGCGACGGTGAGCAGCCATGGGATGCCGTTGTGCAAATTGCCGGGGCGTGGGCCGGCATTTCCCGCTGAAGCAGACACGAGGATACCACGCTCCATGGCGGCGAAAGCAGCTATGGCCACGGGGTCTTCGTACAGCGGCACATCGTCCAAGCCCATTGACATGGAGATGATATCGACGCCGTCCGCGATTGCCGCGTCCATAGCGGCCAGCACGTCAGACGCGTATGGAAGCCCCTTTTTGTTCCATATGACCTTGTACATGGCGACATGAGCACGCGGGGCAACTCCGCGGGCAGTGCCAAGCCCGTACCCGAAGAAAGACGCGCCCGGCACGGGGCTGCCCGCTGCGGTGGATGAGGTGTGCGTGCCGTGGCCTAGGATGTCGCGTGTTGAGTTCATGCTGATCACCACGCCGGGGTTCGCGGCAACAAAACCCCTGTTGAAGTAACGCGCTCCGATGAGCTTCCGGTTGCACGTAGAGGCGGCAAACGCCACGCCCGGCTCGCACGCGCCGCGCCACCGGGATGGCACAGGGCCCATGCCGGCATCGTCGAAGCTCGCGCTCTCCGGCCACACTCCGGTGTCGATCACACCGATGATGATGCCCTCGCCGAGTTTGGCCGCCGGCCACAGCCCACCGAACGGGCTGAGGTGGAGGAACTCCGTGGAGTGCGTGGTGTCGTGAGAGGCGTCGGCGCAGCGATCGGGTATGCCGAGACGAAGCCCGGCGAGTGGCTCAGCGCGCGGAGCTCCGAGGACGAGAGGGTGGCCGCGAAGCCGTGGAGCGCCTCGTCGTAGGCGTAGACAAGCCGTGGCTGCTCGCCACGGGCGCCGTCCGGTGAGTCGGCTGCCGCTGCTAGAGACGACAGCACGGTGGAGTACCAGTCACGGTGGCCGGAGAGCTGCGGCGGCATGGCGGACTTGTCCATGTGGATAATGTACGAGGCCCGCTGATCGGCGCCCACAGGAGCGAGGAAGAGAGGGCAGAGGAGGAACCATGAGCTACTCGCTAACAGTAGAAGTGATGTAGTAGGACGAGTGTGCATCGCATCTGCCTTGTTGTTGCCAGTTGAATTGTCCTAAGCATAGGCGCTCATTATATACACGACGGTGCACCGGGCTGGGTGCGCACGGGCACATGTACGCATGGTTGTTCGGTAGCTAGGTTGGTTCGGAGCATATTGCATTGTCTTTGAACTTTGGAAATGTGCCTGCTTGTGTGAATGAGTCTTGACAACCTATATATCTGGGAAAGAAAAGAAAATGCCGATCTCCGTTGGTATTGCAGCTATGTTCTGGATTGGATTATCCAGAGAATGATCTGAAAAAAGGTTTTCCCTCGCTTTGTAATACAAAGCAATAACACCGGTACAACCAACAATATGTACTGGGGCGGAAACATCACAGTCACGCCCAGAAGAAATGAAAGAGAAATTGCAAAAGGACAAATGCCGGCAACGGCGGATGAACAAAAACAAAGAAGCCTCGCGACTGCTGAGGGAGTCCTGGATTGGGGGGTCCTCGGACAGCCGGACTATATACTTTAGCTGGACTGTTGGACTATGAAGATACAAGATTGAAGACTTCGTCCCGTGTCCGGGTGGGAGCTCTTCTTTGCGTGGAAGGCAAGCTTGACAATTCGGATATGTAGATCTCCTTCTCTGTAACCGATTTTGTGTAACCCTAGCCCCTCCAGTGTCTATATAAATCGGAGGGTTTAGTCCGTAGGACAGGAACAACAATCATAATTATAGGCTAGCTTCTAGGGTTTAGCCTCTACGATCTCGTGGTAGATCAACTCTTATAATACTCATATCATCAAGATCAATCAAGCAGGAAGTAGGGTATTACCTACATCGAGAGGGCCCGAACCTGGGTAAACATTGTGTCCCCCGCCTCCTGTTACCATTAGCCTTAGAGCACAGCTTGGGACCCCCTACCCGAGATCCGCCGGTTTTGACACCGACATTGGTGCTTTCATTGAGAATTCCACTGTGTCGTCACGATAAGGCTTGATGGCTCCTTCAATCATCTGCAATGATGCGATCCAGGGTGAGGTTTTCCTCCCTGGACAGATCTTCGTATTCGGCGGCTTCGTACTGCGGGCCAACTCGCTTGGTCATCTGGAGCAGATCGATAGCTACGCCCCTGGCTATCAGGCCAGGTTTGGAAGTTTGAACTATATTGCCGACATCCGCGGAGACTTGATCTTCGACGGATTCGAGCCCATGGCAGGTGCACCGAACAGTCACAATGAGCATGACTTAGATCTGTCATCGGACGGTGTTCAGGAGATCACACCTGCGGTTGCCCCGGCTCTTAATCCGGAGCAGATCGTGCCATCCGAGGACGGGAGGATGGACCCCGCCACGGAGGCCGCACACTCATCGGTGCTAGAGCCGAACACAGACTTCACCTCCAAAGAGATCTGTGTCATTGGACCCTCGGACTCGTCTCCGGCCATAGGTTCCGCACGCGCATCTGTGCCTATCAAATATGATTGGGCACCGATCATGGAGTTTACCTTCGCGGATATCTTTCAACACTCACCCTTGGACGACGTGCTAAATTCACTGAAAACTCTCTCCCTGTCAGGAGACTCTTGGCCGAACTATGTCCAGCTTGAGTGGGAAGCGGATGACGAAGAAATTCGTTCCCCACCCACCACCCATTTGGTAGCCACTGTCGATGATTTAACCGACATGCTTGACTTCGACTCCGAAGACATCGACGGTATGGACGACGATGCTGGAGAGGAACAGGAACCACCGCCCGCAGGGCGCTGGACAGCCACCTCATCATATGATATATATATGGTGGACACCCCCAAAAAAGCGATGGCAATGAGGCAACGAAGGATAATCCCCTTGAGAAGCAATCTAAGCACCGGTGTCATCGGCGCTGCTCTAAGCCTCGTCATAGCAAAAATAGCGATACCAGCACAAGAGACAATAATGCTCCGAATAATGCCGAAGACGAAAACAATCCCACCCAGCCAGGCTCCGAGCAGGTCGAGCGGGAGGATGGGCAAGCTAGCCCTAAGGAACAGGCAATGGACGGAGAATCAGAGGATGACAATTACATGCCCCTCTCCAAAGACGAGGTGAGCCTTGGCGACGAAGAATTCATCGTGCCTGAGGATCCCGTCGAGCAGGAGCGCTTCAAGCACCGGCTTATAGCCACGGCAAAAAGCCTGAAGAAAAAGCAGCAGCAGCTTCAAACTGATCAAGATCTGCTAACTGATAGATGGATTGAGGTCATGGCAGCCGAGGAATACAGACTCGAGCGCCCAACCAAAAGTTACCCAAAGCGCAGGTTGCTACCTCAACTCGAGGAGGAGGCATTAAAGCCCACACTACTAGCACAGGATGCGACTGACCGGCCACCTCGTGGCCGAGACAAAGCGATGTATCAGCCCGAACACCAACCCGCACCCCATCACCAATCAAACAAAAACACTAAGGCCTGGGGCTACACGCAGGACCTGCGAGACATATTGGAAAACAAAGCAGGACAGTCAAGATCGATCTACGGATCACGGGGGCGCGCCCCAATGTGTGACAATGACCGTTACACAGGATATACTAAAAGCAAATCCGGCCGGGCCGAATACAACAGACCAGACTCATTTGAACTGCGTCGTGATATAGCCCGCCATAGAGGCGCCGCACACCCCCTATGCTTCACTGATGAAGTAATGGATCATGAATTCCCAGAAGGGTTCAAGCCCATGAACATTGAATCATATGATGGATAACAGACCCCGCGATATGGATTGAAGATTTCCTTCTCCACATTCACATGGATCGCGGCGATGATCTACATGCCATCAAGTACCTCCCACTAAAACTCAAAGGACCGGCTCGACATTGGCTGAATAGCTTGCCGGCAAACTCCATTGGCAGTTTGGAGAACCTGGAAGACGCATTCCTTGACAACTTCCAGGGCACTTATGTACGACCCCCGGATGCTGATGACTTAAGTCACATAACCCAATAGCCCGGAGAGTGAGCCAGGAAGTTCTGGACTCGGTTCCTAACTAAAAAGAACCAAATTGTCAACTGTCCGGATGCCAAAGCCCTAGCGGCCTTTAAGCATAACATCCGCGACGAGTGGCTCGCCCGACACCTTGGCCAAGAGAAGTTGAAGTCCATGACAGCCCTCACGACACTCATGACCCGCTTTTGTGCGGGCGAGGACAGCTGGCTGGCTCGCAGCAATAGCACATCAAGAAATCCTGGCACTTCAGATGCCAAAGATAACAACGGCTAGCCCCGACGCAACAGACATAAGCGTCGCAACAATGGTGACAACGCCGAAGACAGATAGTCAATGCCGGATTTAGTGGCTCTAAGTCTGGTCAGCGGAAAAGGCCATTCAAAAGAAACAAACCGGGCCCGTCCAGTCTGGACCGCATACTCGATCGCTCGTGTCAAATTCACGGCACCCCTGATAAACCAGCCAACCACACCAACAGAGAATGCTGGGTGTTCAAACAGGCCGGCAAGTTGAATGCCGAAAACAAGGAAAAGGGGCTGCATAGCGATGACGACGAGGAGCCCTGGCCGCCGAACACAGGAGGACAAAAGAAATTTCCTCCCCAAATGAAAATGGTTAACATGATATACGCCACCCATATTCCCAAGCGGGAGCGGAAGCGTGCACTAAGGGACGTCTACGGGATGGAGCCAGTCGCCCCAAAGTTCAACCCATGGTCTTCTTGTCCAATCACTTTCAATCACAGGGACCATCCTACCAGTATCCGTCATGGCGGTTCGGCCGCATTGGTCCTCGACCCCATCATTGATGGATTCCACCTTACACGAGTCCTTATGGATGGGGGTAGTAGCCTGAACCTGCTCTATCAGGATACAGTGCGCAAAATGGGCATCGACCCCTCAAGGAACAAACCCACAAAAACCACCTTTAAAGGTGTCATACCAGGTGTAGAGGCCTGTTACACGGGCTCAATCACACTGGAAGTAGTCTTCGGATCTTCGGACAACTTCCGAAGCCAGGAGTTAATCTTTGATATCGTCCCTTTCCACAGTTGCTATCATGCACTGCTCGCACGAACCACATTTGCCAGATTCAATGCGGTACCGCATTATGCATACCTCAAGCTCAAAATGCCAGGACCTCGCGGGGTTATAATAGTTAACGGAAACACAGAGCGCTCGCTCCGTACGGAGGAACACACTGCGGCCCTCACAGCAGAAGTACAGAGCAGCCTTCTTAGGCAGACCGCCAATTCGGCAATAAAGCCCCCGGACACCGTCAAGCGAGTCTAGAGTACCTTGCAACAGGATCGTCCGACACGTCTAGAGCTCGCCTAGCAATTCGGCCTCCGTCCTAGTCCCAGTCAAGCGGGGAAATTTGTGCCGCGCGTACATAATTACGCACTTAAAATACCATGGGCATAGGCGGAGGAATGACTACAATGCGGTCCACAATGCGGCTCAACCGTCCCAGGACCCATACACCTTCCCCCTTTTCTTTCTTTCAGGTCCTTCTCTTTTCGAGGCTCTTCCAATAATCTG